AGCTCACGCATGAGGTGGAGGTCCAGTACTACAACATCAAGAAGCAGAACGCCGAGAAGCAGCTGCTGGTGGCCAAGGAAGGGGTGAGATTTCAGTGCCTTGTCCCGCAGGGAAAGCTTTGGGGAGTGACACCTGCAGAGTTTCTCTGCACCTTCTTTCTTGCCCTTTTAATGCCTTACATTTGCAAATTGCCAATAAAGCGCAGCACAAACAAACAAAGTGCAACCTGCAAATGAAGTGCAGCACAGAGCGCAATCTGCAAATACACTGCAGCACAAAGTGCAATTTGCAGATAAAGTGCAGCAAAAACAAAGTGCAATTTGCAAATAAGCTGCAACACAAAGTGCAGTCTGCAAATTAAATGCAGCACAAATTGCAATCTGCAAATAAACTGCAGCACAAAGTGCAACCTGCAAATACACTGCAGCACAAACAGAGTGCAATCTGCAAATAAAGCGCAGCACAAACCTTTCCCAGAGGTGTCACGAGGGGCTGCAAACAGTGCCAATCAGTCACTGCTCAGGGCTCTGTGGGCACAGACCTGGGCATGCCCGAGAGCTGTGGCCGCTGGTCCCGGAGCCCTGAGAAGGGGCAGAGCAGGAATTAATCGCTGCCCAGGCGACAGCGCTGTGAGGAGTCGGGGAGTGGAACATTTTGCACCTCTGAAGCATAATCCCTGCTCCAGGTGATTTACGTGCACAGGCAACAGCATTTCGATTGTGTGCTGCGCTCTGTAGCGATGACTCATTTCTGCATCCCCAGTTGTTTCAAATTTTCCGTGCCACCCAAAGGGATGAGCTGCAGGGAAGCTGTTGGAACGCGTCTTCGTCCCTGTCGACACCCAGCAGTCAGAACGGGCAGCGTATAAAAATTTCTCTGCCTTCATGTGTTTTTACTATGAACATTTTCACATTTCAGTGGTTTTCCTTTCGCTGTGTCGGTTCTCGTGCCCACGTCCTTGGTTTGTCTTTTGCAAGTCTCGAGTTAACGCCACTGGAGCTGGTCTACAGACGCTGTGCCACAAAGGGAGGGCAAAAAACCAACCCCAAAACAAAAAAAACCAAAACAAAAACCCCAACAGCAACCCTATTAATGGTCTTTCACTGATAGTTTACTCGTGGGAAGGACAAAACAAGGCTTTGGGAAGTCAGGAGAAGGGACAAGGAGGAGCGTGGAACGCGCAGCCTGCTTCCTCGCTGCTGGCAAATTCCTCCACCGTGGAGGGAAGAGCAACATCCATCAGTTAAACCCCGAATCCCACTCTTCCCGGGTGTGCAAACAGCTGCGGGGACTATTTCTGTCTCAGCCCAGCCAGGATGTCCTTGTCCTGGAGGAAACATGAGGTCGTCTTCCTCCTCTGACCTTGTTCTGTTGATGTTCCAGGCTGAAAAAATCAAAAAGAAGAGAAACACCCTGTTTGGAACGTTTCACGTCGCTCACAGCTCATCTCTAGATGATGTTGATCATAAAATCTTAACTGCAAAGTGAGTATCTGTTATCTCTGCCGTCCTCGCTCATCCCTCCCCTGCTGCAGACACGAGCGTCCTGTCGCCTGGGCAGGGGCTCTGGTCGCGTTTTGCTGAACTTCTGTTGGCTTGAGTTAGCTGGGATTGGCCTTGCTCCTTTTAATCAATAACCTTCTAATTTTATTTCTGTGAAACAAGAAATCACAATTATGCAGGGCAATTACAAGTCCTGGCAAAATGAGGGTGCGGGAGGCTGCAGGATGCTTAACCCATTATCCCTGGGTATTTCGGTTCTTGCTGGTTTTTTTATTTACTGCATTCCCAAAAGTGGAATGAAGGATGTCTCAAGTGTTAGGATACAAAGCTGAACCTCCAGACTCCCTTTTCCAGCCAATTTAAGGTGCGTTTTTCCTTCACTCCCAACATTTTCCCTTGTTTGAACCTTGCTCGCAGGCAAGCGCTGAGCGAAGTGACGGCGGCGCTGCGGGAGCGCCTGCACCGCTGGCAGCAGATCGAGCTGCTCTGCGGCTTCCAGATCGTCAACAACCCCGGCATCCACAGCCTGGCCTCCGCCCTCAACATCGACCCCAGCTGGATGGGCACCCCGCGCCCCAACCCCTCGCATTTCATCATGACAGACGACGTGGACGATCTGGACGAGGAGATCGTCTCCCCCATGTCCATACAATGTACGTGGTCCCTGCTGCTGCGCACGGTGGGTCCGCGTCTGCCGGGTGTCCGTGGGGCGGACCTGGGAGAGTGGTTCCAAGGTGTTAGGAAGGATTAAAGGATCTCGCCTGGTTTTTAAATGGCCACAGACAAATTGTTAGTTGTTAGTTGGTGGGTGCTGCCTCTTCTCTAAAGCAACAAGTGATGGGACAAGAGGAAACGGCCTCAAGTTGCGCCAGGGGAGGTTTAGGCTGGAGATTAGAAAAAATTTCTTCACTGAAAGAGTGATGAGGCATTGGAACAGGGACGTGGGGGAGTCACCATCCCTGGAGGGGGTCAGGAAACGTGTGGATGTGGTGCTTGGGGACATGGGTTAGTGGGCTGGGTGGGGTTGGGCTGACAGTTGGACTGGATGGTCCTTGAGGTCTCGTCCAACCTTCGTGATTCTGTGATTCTCTGATTCTAAGGGTCAGGGATGTCCCTAAGTGCCAGACCACCGCTGCTGGGGTTGCTTGGAGCCTGTTAATTCCAGCAGAACTAGTCATTTGTTGATGTTATTGTCATAGAATCACAGGATGGTTTGGGTTGGAAGGTTTAAAGATCATCGAGTTCCAACCCCAACACCTCCCACTAGCCCAGGTTGCCCAAAGCCTCATCCAGCCTGGCCTTGAACCCCTCCAGGGCTGGGGCATCCACAGCTTCTCTGGGCATCCTGGGCCACTGCCTCACCACCCTCAGTAAAAAAATCCCTCCTAATATCTCATCGAAATCTCCCCTCTTTCAGCTTAAACCCCTTCCCCCCCTCACGTGCTGTTCTGTTAAACTCACTGAATTGAAGCATTTACAAAAAAACCCCAAAGGTCTGGGCTGGACCCACAGAAGCGAGAGAGGAACCCAAAGTGCATCTTCTGCTGTCCCCTGGGCTGGAGCACGTGTTCAGGACATAAAAGGACCTCAAGACACCCCCTCCTCCTGCACGGCTTTGGACTTGCCCCTCTCCCCGTTCCCTGGGGAGGAGCAGCCTGCCCTGGGGATGCTGCCCTCCTGCAATGCCCCGTTGAACGGACAAAGACCCCAGTGCCCCCATAGAATCACAGGGGGGTTTGGGTGGGAAGGGACCTTAAAGCCCCCCCAGTGCCCCCCCCTGCCATGGGCAGGGACACCTCCCAGTAGCCCAGGTTGCCCAAAGGTTGCCCAGCTCCCGGGCGGGTGTTGTGGTCCCCAGGGTGGGCGTTCGCTCCCTCTTTAAGGGTGACTGTCCCTGTCCAAAGTGCTTCAGCTCCTGGAGGGAGGGAGGGGGCTGCAGGGGGGG